TTGTGTTTGTGCTGAGCCAGGGTCTGGCATACAGCAGGTGCTCCACAGACTCTACCTCAGCTAGCGAAATGCCATGGGACTCATTCAGGTTACCACATCCCCTGCAGTTTCTTACTGCAGCGGTCTCCTAACTGTCTCCCCACTTGCTCGTTCAAATAAATCCATCTTTCAGCCTAGGAAGAAAATTTTCTGAAATGTAAAGCAGTCCCGATGTGGCCCTGATCAAAATCCTGCACTGATAAGGGTGGCCATTGTTGCACCACTTGGAGTACCTGAATCCCAGCACAGAGCTCCGGTTGTAATCCTCGCCCCTTGGCTTCCAATCCAACTTCTTGCTGATAAGCCCGAGAGGCAGCAGAAGATGGTCCACATACTTGGATTCCTGACACCCACGTGGGTGACCTGGATGAAGTTCCTGGCTCCTGGCTTCAACCTGGCCCAGCCCTGGCTGTTGCAGGCATTTGGGGAGTGAACCAGTGGAGGGAGGCTGGTTCGTGGGCTCTCTCTCCTTTCCTTCCTCCCTCCCTCCCTCTCCCTCTCCCTCTCCCTCTCCCTCCCTCTCCCTCTCCCTCTCCCTCTCCCTCTCCCTCTTTCTGTCACTTGGCTCTGCAAGTAGATAAATATAAAAAGAAATTGTTCACTGACTCACCACTGCCCTCACAGTGAATCCTCGCTCTCTGGACAGATTTATGAGACCCTGCAAACCTTGACCAGTAATTCTGAAGTCTCCCCTTGGACCACTCTCTCCCTTGTCTTCCAGACGCAGGGTTTTCTTTCCATTCCTTTTGTGTACCAGGCTCTCTGGTGCCTCTGCACCTTTACACGTGCTATGCCCTCTAGCCGGAACATTCAGCACCTCAGTCTCCATGCCTGGCTAAATCCTACCCAAACGTTAGTATGTCTGCCTGCACCTTTTGTCTGGCTTGAGAGGTGATAAGAAGTATGGGTCCCACATTGACCTATGGGCAGAAGCTAACGGTTTGGCTGGAGGGTCGGAGACACAGAGAGCACAGCACTGGAAAACTGGCAAAGGAAAGCACAGAGATGTATTTGGATGGACTTTGAGAAATGGCCCAGGATGTGAAGACATCTGTATTCCAATTAAAACTTCACGCTGGCGCCGCGGCTCACTAGGCTAATCCTCTGCCTGCGGCGCCAGCACCCCGGGTTCTAGTCCCGGTCGGGGTGCCGGATTCTGTCCCGGTTGCTCCTCTTCCAGTCCAGCTCTCTGCTGTGGCCCAGGAAGGCAGTGGAGGATGGCCCGAGTCCTTGGGCCCTGCACCCACATGGGAGACCAGGAGAAGCACCTGGCTCCTGGCTTCGGATCAGCGCGGTGCGCTGGCTGCAGCGGCCATTGGGGGGTGAACCAACGGCAAAGGAAGACCTTTCTTTCTGTCTCTCTCTCTCACTGTCCACTCTGCCTGTCAAAAAAAAAAATCTTCACCAGCGGGGTGTCCATGGCAGAGGAGGCTCTTGCTAATCAGGGGGACAGATGGGCACATTCCGTGGGGTCAGCCAGCCTTCGTCTCCAGTCCTTCCAGGGCTTTCCCAGTAGGCTCATGTGTGACACGGTCGTGGCAGCCAGAACAGACTCTTTATATGTTCAACAACATGAGATTACCCTGCCTAGGCTGATCTGGCTAATACCAAAGCAGGTGTCCAACAAAGGTGATCTCCTTTTGCTTCACTAAAAAAAAAAATTGTGATTGGATTCAGGTCTGCTGGGTGAGCTCCGCAGGCCATGACCATTAACTCAATCACATCTCAAACAACTCTTCCTTATAAACAGATAGGTTCCAGAGACCAGAACTTGCTGTCTTAGAGAGGCCACAACTCAGCTTCCAATACTCACTCACAAAGCTTGTTTCTGGCCCTTGCAATGTTGGGCTCTGTTTGGAGGTCTTGGTTTCCAAGAGAAGGGAGACAGCTGAGTTTCCCTTGAATTGGAAGCTAAAACGTCCTCGTGGTCATTTGAGGTGCTCCATGCCATGAAACTGACAGGCAAAGAAAGAGTTAATAGAGCGTAGGCATGACTGATGCTGTCACACAGGGGTAATTCTCTAAGGTCCCTCCTCCTGCCTCCATGTACCATAGTAATCGCTGCAGAAAGCCATGGCACCCAAAGCTGTGCAGACCCCCTGAGGACTCAGACCCTGCACAAATGAGCATTTGGGTCATCGCGCCCTGTAGAGAACCTGATCTGATTGCAGTGTTGACTGCAGTGGAAGGAGGCAGTGGAAGGAGGAGGTGGCACCTGCCTGTGGTCACTGGGAAGGGAGCTAAAGCGGCCACGCCCACTTTCCTCCTCGCCTCTGTGTGTGTGTGTGTACGTGTGTGTGTGTGTGTGTGTTGGGGAAGGCAGTGTCTAACTTAAGCAGTTTCCTTTTCCATCCTTGTCCTTTTCTCTTGTTATTTTGCATAAAGACTGCAAGTGATCACTAACTTTAGTTTTTCAAGTAGGATTATGAATGCATTAGAGGAATAATTAACATCATCCAGATGTGGATTCAGTGCCTAACTCCTGGGGTTGGATACAGCTGATGGCCCATGGAAGCAGGTGTCTTCGGCATCTGGGGGGAGAGGGTTAGAGCGTCATCATTTATATGAAGGATGCTTTTGTCCTATTAGCTGGGTGGATTGGAGTGTGTGGATCCTGTCTGCACCCCTTTATTAAGCTATTTCCTTTCAGTTCCAAGTGTAGCCTCCCATACTCTGTGACACGGGCCTGCAGCTCTGCAGACCACATTACCCCCTTGTCAGCTGGCTCTGACAGTGAGGGGCACTAGAGGGAAGTTGGAGGGCAGGAGAAGTGAAGACTTCCTCCTCCCTGCACCTCCTAGGCTTACCAGCAACAGCCACGTGGCAACAATTGATCCCAGCTCCAACTTCTTTTCTGCATCCCCAGACAAACATCTTTGTATCCTCTAAGAGGGCCCAGCCCCAGCCAAGGGCACCTCCTTTCTGATCTCTGAGACCCGACACCACAGGCTTCCTCCTCCACAAGCAGAGGGCTCTGATAACCCTGGTCTCTCCACTCTTATGATCAAATTATGCATGCATTTCAGGTTTTGGCACCAAAATAAACTCATACTACCTTGTTATGACATGTCTGAGCAGGATCCAGTCTAAGTACTTGGATGACAGCCGTTTGAAAGGAGTGCCTATCAGAGCAACATGGATCCTGCTAATCTGACACGAAAACAAACATCAAATGTATACGAAGCTTTGGTGGAAGAACGGTGAAATCACTGACGCTTTATGAAGCGTTTTAGGGGCAGTGTCCAAAGAAATCCACAGGTGTCGAGTGGATAACTCACTTTAAGAAGGGACTAGAGGAAGTCGAATATGAAACCTGCAGTGGCAGACCCAGTGCATCCATTTCCGAGAAAAAGATGAATCTGTTCCTTGCCCTAACTGGAGGGGACTGGTGATTAACAACAGAGACAAAAAGTAAGCACCACAGGCATCTCGAGCGGCTCAGCGTATTCAATGCTGACTGCACACTTTAGGTACCGCACATTTTCCCTCAGTGGGCACCAAAACTGCTGCACCCAACTCAATTGCACTTCCCATGCATAGGAGTTTCAAAACAGCGGGACTAAGGTCCTGAAGCCTGTCTTCCGAGAATTATTAACAGGGGAAGAAGCAGGGCTTTCTCAGTATAATCCTGACGATAAAGCACAACCAAAGCAACGGCTACTGGGAAGTGAAAATGGCTCAATCGAACGCAAAGGCTAGGGCTACAGGTTATGGATTTGGTTTTTGGTTTTCTTGGATGCTCAAAGCATTTTGCTTGTTGACTTTCTGAAAGGCCAAAGGACAATACCATCTGCTTATAGAAGAGTGGTGTGAGAAAGTTAGCCAAAGCTTTATGGAGAAGTGCAGGGAAAGCTTCACCAGAGGGGACTCTGCTCCTCCACACTCCTGCTCGTTCCTCTCATCAGACAGGGACAACCTTCCAAGTTTCAACAGCAAGCCATCGGGCATCCACCTTACAGTCCCAATCTGCCTCCTTCTGACTTCTGTCTTCTAGTCTCAAAAGACCTCAAAAAGTCTCAAAAGGGCGCTCACTGTCCCTCAGATAATAATGTAAAATTCCCAGGACTCTCTTTCTCCAGAAATGGACTAACTGTCTGGTAATGTTGCTGACAAAGGTGTCTTGAACTTGATAAAGCTTATATTGAGAAATAAGATTTATCTTTTTTGTCTATTTATTTTTTATTTGACAGGTAGAGAGACAAGGAGACAGAGAGCGCCCATCTGCTGGTTCATTCCCCAATTTCCTGCAGCAGCTGGGGTTAGGCCAAGCCGAAGCTAGGAGCTGGGAACTTCATCCAGGTCTCCCACATGGGTGGCAGGGATCCATGTACCTGGGCCATCACCTGCTGGCTCCCAGGGTGTGCGTTAGTGAGAAGCTGGAATTAGGAACAGAGCTGGGACTTGAGCCCAGGCACTCCTAGGATGTAGATGAGATGCAGGCATCTTACTCCTTGGGCCAAACACCTGCCCCTATTTTTTCCCTTTTAACTCCCTTTTCCATGACTTTTTGATGTCCTCCTGTATTCCTGCAGCTCTAGGAGTGGCAGCTGCTTCTTGCTGTTATTTTTTTCCCTCCAGCTCATCTCTATGTTCTCTGTTTGGTCTCTCAGCCCTCCTTCATCAACATAACCCCTTATCCCTAGCAAGTTCTCTTCGGTGAAAAACCTAGTGTTGTTTTTGTCATCCTTACTGGACCCTGACTGACACAAACTATTGGGAAAGTGGTAGTCACTTTGCACTGGTCATCATGAGAGGTCAACCTGCCTGTGAGGAAGACCCAACCAGGAGACGGATTCCTGGCTTTTTAGTGCACTGGGCCACTAAGTTTCCTTTTTTGCTTAAACCACATGGGGTTGGGGGGTCTTTGTTATTTAAGACAAAGAGTTCTCATTAATCCAAATCTCCTTGTCTCCACTCCAAACCAGGAGCCTATGAAAAAAAAACTGAGACCAACCAACCACTTCCTACTGAAAACTTTAATGAAACCAATAAGTTAATAAGTTAACAAAGTGAGGTACTTGCAATATCCAAGAACGGGGGGAGAGGGGAGGGAACCTTGATCATGGAAGGAGGGAGGGCTTCTTCCCAGGTCTCCTTTGGTCATAGGGTAACCCCAGTCTCCTGCCCCTCTCTGCAGCTCTGTCTCTGAGGGGATCCAGGGGTGGCTCTATGGGGACAGTGCAATGCAGGTGAGGACAGCCAGGACAAGCGTCATCCAGGGCACGATGATCACATGCAGAGGGCATGTTGGGGCAGAGGCAGGGCACCATGGGGCTGAGTGAGATCCCACTCGAGCCCTGGCACTGGTGCATGCAAGTCCCCAGTGTGAGATGCAGGCAGTTTGGCCTCAGCCCCTTGTTCCCAGGCACCTCTGAGAGGGTTACCATCCATCCACTCCCCCTTACCCTCCTGCCACCCTCAATGGCTCTGCAGAAGAGGAGCAAGGAGGTAGGGATATGAGAACGGTGCTGGGGCCTTGGAGTGGATGGGGGCTTACGCCAGTACAAGGGGCAGCCCGTGGCAAGGAAGTGGGCGTGAAGGAGGGAGACAGTGCATGCGCCCACCGGCCTCTCTGTTGGTGTAGCTGCTGGACGCAGTATTGTTCTCTCTGAAGCCGGAGCGACTGCAGCAGTGGGGGCAAGCTCAGAGTCTGTGGTGGTGTGCAGACCCCGGAGGCCTAGCCTGAGTTGTGCTGTGGGGGGTGTTGAGGAGGGCTCTGGGGGGCAGCAGAGGCAGCAGTCAGGGCTCCTGGCCCAATGAGAAGAGCTTCTTGAAAAGAGGCACTGGGAGAGCTCTGGGGTGGGGTCTGGAGAGACAAGGGGTCGCTTCCAAGCTCCCTCTCCTGCCCACACTGGTGGTGGGGGGCGTCTTCCTCTGAGTGGGTGTCACCTAAAAGGCCCGTCCCTGGCATCCGCTGCAGAGGCTGGGAGAGGCTGCGCGGCTCTGTGCTCGGGTGGCCAAGTGTGTGACGCGAGCATGAGGGGCTTGTGCATGTCTGCCCGAGTGTGCCCTCCCCTGGAGCATCCCAGGGGAGCTTAGGGGAGAACACAGAAACTTGTGCTGTCAGTGGTATCGGGAGAGCCAGAGGGGAGTGGCCACCCAGCTGGAGGAGGGAGCCCCTAGGAGGCCACACCTGCAGAGGGGAAGAAAAGCCCAGGCACTGCCCTCCGGAGAGGGCGGGGAGAAACAGGCCCCATGCTGGGTGGGGGCGGGGTGATAAGCCAAAGAATGGGGCTGGGGGTCATGGCTGAGCAGCCTGAGACCAGCTACTGCTGGGGGCCCATCTCCCAGTGGGAGGGGCAGAGGGACCCCATGGGGGTCCTCAAAGTTGCATATTTAACATAGTTTGCATATATGGTGCCCACCTGCCACGCGGCAGGGTCCTGTGCTTTGTGGGTACCTGTGCGGGCACCTCGGGCCCACCCTCAGAGTGGGGTGGGGACTTGGCGGGAGGACTTCCCTGCTCTGTCCAAAGGGCAGGCCGGAGACCTCACCTTGCATAGCTGGAAGCTGGGTCAGGGCCCAGGGCCCCCGGCGCCCTACTCCACTCCTGGGGCCGCGCCTCGGCCAGGCGCCAGGCGAGCCGCTTCGGGCCTTGATGGAGGGGGCACTGGGGGGGCCCCCGAGGGCGCGCGGCGGCCGCGGCGCTGCCCTCCATGCGGCCTGGCACCTCGCGCTCCTGAGGTGGGGGCATCTCGCCCACCCAGGCAGCTCAACACTGCGTGTGGCCTCTCCCCGCGGGGGAGCGAGTTCAAGTAAGAGAGGAGTCCGAGGCCTCGGGAGGCGGGCCCGGGAGCCGCCCCGCCCCCGAGAAGCCCCTCAGTCCATGTTGGTGCTGACCGAGCGGGAGATGCTGAGCGTCTGTGCCGAGACCGAGATGTCCTCGTGGTCCACAGGGCTGTGGTAGTCGGAGGTGATGTCGGGGTCGAAGAGCGGCACTTGCACGGTGCCCAGGCTGGCCGAGGTGCCAGAGCGCAGGCAGCGCGAGTAGAAGCCCAGCAGCAGGTCCAGCTTGTGCTCGATGGACTGCACCTGGGGGCGTGGCCGGAACAGGGCTCGGTCGGGGGCGGGGCCTGGGCGGGGCAGGACTTGTAGGCGGAGCGCAGAAAGCGGGCGGGGCCTGGTGGGAGGCGGGCCTCGGCAGGGCAGGATTTGAGGGCGGAGCGCAGAGAGTGGGCGGGGCCAGGGCAGGGCTCCCTGGGAGACCCGCGTCGCTACAGAGCAGGGCGGAGCTTGGGCCGAGCACTGGACGAAGCCGGGAAGCTGGGGCAGAGTCCCGGGGAGACCTTTACTTGTGATTGATTGGGATTTGTGATTGATTGGTCCGGGAGAAAAGGAGATAACTGAGAGGCGCAACTGAAGGGTGTACCTGGGGTTTAGGGGGCTTAGCTGAGACCAGGGCAATGCGGGGGCGGGGCTTAGCGGGAGGGCCAGCCTTTGGGGGCGGGGCTTCTCTGCGGGTCGGGGCTCGGCCTAGCTCGGGGCTCGTGGGCCCGCTGGGGCCTCCCGGGTGGGTGCTCTGGGCTGCGGCTCTGGGAAGCACACCCTCGCCTTGTGTGGTCTCCGCGGCCCTCCAGAGCTTCTCGGCGGAGGGCCAGCTCCGCGACCGCGGCGAGCCGCCGTCCTGCACTCACCTGCTTCTCCACCTTGACCACGCGCCCCATCATGCTGATTTCATCCACCGCCTCCGTGTCCGGGGGCCCCTTGTCGCCCTTTTCCCGGGCTTTCCGGTCCGCAGATCCCCGGCCCACAATCTGGTCCACCCTGCGGGCAGAGGGAACTGTGAAAGGGCGCGGACCACCAGAACGCTGGGCTGCCTGCTGAGGGGCCAGAGCCTGCCCTGGAGGAAGGGACCGGGCACGAGGCTGGGCTGGGCGGGAGCTGGCTGAGCAAAGGCAGGACACGGGAGTCTGGGAAATGGGGAGACACGTGGGAACGTCAGTATAAGGTGCGCAAGTCTATAGCCACTTTTCTGCTCTTCTCAAGGAAGTCGGGGAAATGCTCTCTCCACTCTACCTCCAGTTCCTTGCCCCCTTTCTCACCCGGGCTCCAGTCAGGATTCCATGGCCACCAGTTCACCCGGGCCACGGCGTCAGGCTCCCAGGTGAACTCCATGTTGCTGTGGGCTGGAGCTCACCTCTCAGCTGTCATTTTACACGTCTGATCGCCCCTTATCTCGCAAACACTTTCTTCACTTGGATTCCCAACACCCCCCACCCCCACCCTAGTTCCCCTCCTCCCTCCCAGTCCCTTTGCTGGTTCCTCCTCTCTCTCCACAACCTCCAAACCCTGCAGACCCCAGTGCTCATGGCTGGACCTCTCTTCTCCAATTCCTTCCACCCACAAGGTCCTGTCTTCAGCTCCACGATTTTCAATTCCTTTCTGTATGGTTGACACCAAATCTTTCTCTCTGCCCTATGCCTCTCCTCTGAACTCCACACTCGCGTATCTAGCTGCCGGGCCAGCCCTCCAGTTGGACACCCACATCACAAACCCAGCTGTATGAACACTCCTGATGGACAGCCACTCCGCTCACTGCTGTCTCCCTGTCACTACATGGTGACTCCATTTGCGTCTTGCTCTAGCTAAGGATGTCCAGGACTCCGTCCTTGGCTCTCTTGTGCTCCATCAGAAAACACTGTTGGCTCTAACATCAAAATGTATCCAGATCTGACCACTCTCCCACCTGGTCCTAGTGCTCATCACCTCTGGCCTGGAGGGCTGGAGGAGGCTCCTCACTGATCCACCTGCATCCACCATTCTCACCACAGCACCTGAGGATGGTCCTTTTAAAACAGCTCAGATCTTATCAGTCCTTTGCACAAAGCCCTCCAAAGCTTGCATCTCATCTTGGAGGAACGCCAAGGTCTCTGCAGTGGCCTATGGGGCTTTCATACATCTAAGTGCTGTTAGCCCTCTGACCTCATCTGCTGCCTCTCTCTCTGCCCAATACATCACCCTGGCCTACCTGCTGTTCCTAAAAGACTACTCCAGCACCTTGTCCAGCTCAAGTCCTTTGCACCTGCCGTTCTCCCTGGAAACTCTTCAAGCAGCCTCCTTTTTTTCTCACCCCCTTCCATTTTCCTCAGATGTCAGCTCCTCATCTACAATTGCAAACCGTAATTTCTAACCTTTATTTCCCCCCTTAGCTGCACTCATCCTCTGCGGGACAGCTGTTTTGCTCATTGAGTTCTGTTTCCTCTGGAATGAAAGCCCTGTCTTCTGTTTTACTCCCCTCCCCGTGCCCACCGTCTGCAGACAGTGAAGGCTCAGTGACTCAACTTCTGGAGGGAATGAATGCATGCATGCATGGGTCATGAAGATGCAGGCCTGCAGAGGAGAGGGGCAAGGTGTGACTGTGGGCATTCTTCCTTGCTGCCGGGTCTAAATACGACACGCAGGAGGGCTCCAGAGGCAAGAGCTGGCCACTGAGGCCAATTTGTCTCTCCGCCTGGGACGTGGGAAGTCCTTTAGGCGGATAACTTCAGGACCAGGACACAGGCATTCTAAAGCAAGCCCGCAGGCATGCGACCAACGGAGCTGGCACACAGGACCCACCTTGGGTAGCTGTGCAGCCTTAGCGGGGGACCTGCTGAGGCCGGAATCCCGAGTGCCGACAGTGGCCCCTAGGGGGCGCTCGGGACTCCATCCAGGCGCCAGCTGCTCCGACCTCTCGCGCCTCCCTTTCCCCTCCCTGCCTGGGGCCGGCGCACGCACCGAGCCTGCAGACTCTTGATCCGGCCCAGCATATCCAGGTGCCCCGCCGAGTACTGCTCGATGACGTCCTTCACGTCGTACGGTCGCAGGGTCTCCTTGAATTTCCGTTTGGCCACCAGGAACTTCAGAATCCTGCCGGGGGCGGGGGGGGGGGGGCGAGGAGGGGGAGGGGCGGCTCAGAGGGACCGGCCTCTTCAAGCAGGGGATCATTTCCCAGCTACCTGCTTGTCCAGCCCCAAAGCACCTCCTGCTTAGGCCAGGGCACATTGCCTCCCTTGCTCCCATCAGGCTCCCCGGCTCCCCATCGCCGCCAGAGGGAGGGAGGGAGGGAAGGGGGTGGGAGGGACGGAGGGAGGCTGGTTGGTTTTAAGGCGCCTGAAGGTGCCGTGACATTAGCCCGGTAGCACAGGGTCTGTGAACTCTGATTGTTGGTGAGAGCTACGGGGAGCAGAGCCTGCCCTCGCTCCCCAAATAACTTGTTAGCACTGCTCTGCTGGCCCCTGGGTGGTGCTGACCACGCCCACTAAGTGGATTTCACTAAGCTGACTTCAAACTGTCTGGAGCTGCGGTCTGAAAAGCATTGCTCTAAAGAAAGTCCTGGGGAAGCAGACAGATGGAGGCCAAGGAGGGAGAGAGGGAGAGGAAGAGAGAAAGAATGAGAGGCCCAGGAAGAAAAGGAAGAGGACACAGAGACCCCGAGATGCAGGGGAAAGCAAGTGAGGCAAGATGGGCAGATGCTGAACCACAGCTATGGGGAGGGGGGCACACAGCGAGAGATGGCGTAGGGGGAGCAGCAGAGAGGAAGAGCAGGGAGGGACTGGGAGGACACTGCACCTGTGAGGAGCGAGGCCGTGGGGGCAGCCACACCCACTGCCCGCAGGAGCCAGGCCCTCCAGACTCCAGGAATGAGAACAAGGCCTGCTGGCAGGGACAAGCCACCTGCTCCCCAGGTGGCCTTGGCCAGCAGAGCAGACCTGGACGGGGAGCAGCCATGGCCGACAGGCCGGCAGGGCCTCTCACCTGACGGAGCGGATGACCGTCTTCACCGCAGGCATGACGTCATCCACCGTGAGCTCACACTGGAAGCTCTTCTCCTCTGCTGCCTCCTCCGAGGGGCCCTCTGAGAAAATAGGGTCGGCCAGGGGGTGGCAGCCGAAGGGCCACGCCCATCAGAGGGACTGATAGGAAGACAGAGGCCCAGAGGGGTCCCAGAACCTTCCTGGGGGGCACAGGCAGACCAGCCTCCTGCCTGGGGCAGCATGCCCTAGGGTACTGGGTGCCCATCTGCCCCTGGGGCCAGCAGGGTAAATATCTGCCTGGTGCCAGGTGCACGGGAGCTGCTTTAGGGCACTTCCGGTCTGTCCTGGGGCAAACGCGTTGCACACGGAGGCCCCAGGGGTCCCGTCACACAGGACAGCAGGGCCCCGGAGGAAAGCCGCTTGAGGCTCTGCACACCACCCGGCAGTCTTCCCCGTAAGCTCCAGTCCTGCCGCTGGGACCGGCCCTTAAAATCAGCCATTCCTCCCCACATGCCAGCAACTGCTCTGAGGCTGGTGCCCCACCCGGCACAGCCTGGAGGCGCTCTCCCCGCCCCACAGGAGCAGGGGGCACGAGGCGGCAGCAGCCCAGGCTGCTTCCAGGAGAGGCAAAGGAGGTCCCGGGCACCAGCCATGCCCAGGTCCTTGGGGTTCTGTCCCTTTCCAGGAAAAGGCTGTCTGTGCTGCGGGCCAGCGGCATCTCCAGGGTAGTGTGGCTGGGTTCCCTCCCTCCAGGGCCAAAGGGGCTTCCTGTTCCCATCCCCCATCCTCATCCCCGCACCCCCACCTTTCCCCACCCAGGGCCCTGAAGCATGTCCAAGTTGGGAGAAGTCTTCCCAGGCCCTGGCCGATGCCCCCATTTTCCGGAAGAGGACAGTGAGACACAGAAGGGGGCGGTATCTTGCCCAAGTCCCCATGCAAACGACAAGCAGAACTAGAACTCAAAAAATGATGTCTAACCATTAATAAGCAGCACCTCCATGCCCCCTACCCCAGGTCCACAGCCTCAAGTCAGAGGGCTGGGGGCTGGGGGGAGGGGGAGGGGGGAGGGCAGACAGCCTGCACTGTGGGATATGAGCTCGGCCACGCCTGAGCTCAAAGATCTGTTTCCACGTCTCTAAAGCAGGGATAAACACAGAACCCACTTCCCCGCAGAAGCCAATGAAATAATCCAGTGGCTGGGTGCGCAGTCAGGGCTCCTCGTGCGTGGACCCGAGCCCCTTCCAGAGCACATCTGTAAGCAGCTCACTCGTGTCAAGCACTTAGCGTATCCCAGAACCTCTCCTGTCTGCTTTCTTTGGATTATTTCATTTGATCCTCACAGTAATCCTCTGACGTAGATGCTATCGTTGTCCCCATTTCCCAGATGGGGAGGAGGAGGCCCAGAGAGCTGAGATCACTTGCCCAAGATAAGTCTCAGAGCCAGAATTCAAATTCAGGCAGCTTGGCTCCAAAGCCTGTGCCCCCAGCCACCACCAATGCCACCCTCCACATACGCACCAATGCCCATTTGACAGCAAAGCAAGTATCATGGTGCCCATTCTACAGACCAGAAGACCAGTGCCCAAGGACAGTCAACCTGTTGCAGAGCTGGGAGCAGAGCCGGGTCTTTGTGCCCTGAGCCCAGGGTCACCATCCCCGCCACCCCCAGCCAGTCCTGGGCCCCGGACCTCCAGAAGCTCACCCTCGGCAGAGGTGCGGGGTTTGAGTCTCAGAGAAGCTCGGAAGCGGGTGCGGTCGTTGAAGCTCCAGCTCTTCTGTACCTTGGTGGGGCTGGTGGCCTCGCCCACCTGCTCGCTGCTGGGGGAGGTGGGCGTTGGCGGAGGTGCCAGGTGCTGCTTGGAAGGACCCGTCCGCCGCTGGGAGCTGCCCATGCGGATGCGGTCTTTGATGCCCATCCGGCTGCTGGCAGGGTAGGGCAGGTGGGGAGAGAGCCAAGTTAGCAGGAGCTGGGAGCAGGCGAGGGGAGGGAGGAGGCGGTGAGTGGGGACAGAGCTGACTTAGAGCTAGGGGTGGCTATGGGTCTCAATTCCCCACCGAGCAGAGACAGAACAAGGGTGTGGAGAGGGCCCCCCCTCCTACAAGAAGTGATTCGGGGTCACCCAGAACACATTCCCTCCCCTCCCTCCCCCCATCCCTCATTGCCCAAACAGATAAGAGGTGCTCAGGAGACAGATGTCAGAGTGGAAGGAGTAACAGAAACCCAAGATGGGGCTCAAAGAGACAGACAGAGGGTGGAGATCCGGGCCTGGCCCAGGTGGGTGGGTGGAGGGTGGAGGTGGCGACCCCTTTGGGCACAGGTCGCTGAGGGCCAGAGAAGCTCACCTGGCCACGTACACTGAGGTCTGCTGCTGTCTCCACTGCACACAAGGGCAGACCGTGTGGAGTGGGGAGTGTGGTGTGCACGCTTGCACGGGTACCCATGTGCACACGGATACTGGTGTGTGTGCATGTGTGGGTGTGTCCATCTTTATCTTCCTCCTTTCCCTAACTGCTGGAGCTCACCAACCTCACACTGGTCGGGTCAAGGCTTTAGTACCTGGTACAGCTGTGCAGGTAGTACAATGCCAAGTAAGTCTATCACACAGACGTCTGTGCAGGGTAACAGCCGCTGAGGGCCTCTGGCTCCTGGGCTCACGTGGAGGCCATCACATGCCTGGTGCCTGCCCTCCCAGTGACAGCCATCACCTGATCCCCTGTTCCGTGGTCTCCCCTGCCTGATCTCTGCCCACCTGGACCAATGTCCGGCCCATGTGGTCCCAGATCCCCCCTGGATCCAGGTCACTGAGCCCCAAGTTTAACATCCTGCCTGCATGCCTGTGAACACACACGAGTGCATGTGTGTGTGTGCGTGTGTGTGTGCTCAGACGTTCCTTCTCACACCCAGCTCCCCACCACAGCCAACAAGCCCCAGATACAGACAAGTTGGGGGCTGTCGCAAGTTCTCCAGGACAGGCTCCAGTCAACTAATACCTGGGAGGGTAACTGTGTCCGAGGGTTCAAGGGCCATGTTATCGCTGCTTGGGGTGGGGGTGGGGGTGTAGACCTATGCCCTTCGGTGGCACTGCTGCCTCCCCCAGCTGAGGTTTGCCACAGAGTTTGGGGATGGTCCCGCCCCAGATGTCTGGGGTCCTGGCTCAGGAGAGCACCAGACAGTCTCAAAGGAGGCCGAGGTGGGGCAGGGGCTGGCAAAGGAGACTGTGTCACCTATTCTCGGGGACTTTCAGATCAACGGTTGAGCCGAGGACAGGTTCTGGTTTCGGGGTTGGGTGGGAGCCAGGGTCTCCCATGCCCAGGGCATGGGGTCGAGCCATGGTGCTGGAGTAGGGGTGATCACGAAACCAGGGGCACCTTCAGGAAGGCGGCCAGGATGCAGGGCCATCCTCAGGGGGTGGGGCCTCTAGAGGGGAGAGGTTCTAGGTCAAGGCCTGGGACCCTAGGGACCTCTCAGAAGGGAAGGCCAGGGGCGGCTCCCGCAAACCTGCATGCTCTTTGCTGGCCCAGGCCCGCCTTGATGAAGCCCCAAGATTCCAACCGAAGTCAGGGCGGCTTCCCAAACCTTCCTCTGCAGAGCCATTCCTGCGGGCTCGCCTCATGCTGGCAGGCACCCCGCACCCCACCGCCCGCCCCAGGGCCGTGCAACCTTGCCCCTATCCTCCGCTCCCATGGGCAAGAGGAAGAGAGGGGCAGCCAAGGGCCTGGAACTCCGGATCACTGCACCCAGCACTCCTACAGTGGCTGCCCGGCAGGGAAAGGGGTGACCTCCCCGTCACGAGAAGTGTGCAAGCAGTGCTGAGCCTGCACTCAGCAGGACTTTGGGAAGAAGAAGTTCGGGGGCTTGCTTGCGTGGGAGGCCTTGAAAGGCCCCTTTTCAGCTCGCATTCTGCAATGGCTGAGGCTGCTTCCAGTTCCCGGGCTCGGTAACCTTGCAGCCAGCCCCAGGCCCCACGCTCCTCTTGAACGCGAGGAGACACTGTTTTCCCAGGAGCGGCCCTGGATTCCAGCTCCTTGGGCAGGGCCCAGAAAATGGCTCACCCCAGCCTCTCCGGAGCCTGAAAGCTCGAAGAAAATGGAAAGCAAGCTGGCACTCAGTGGGCAGCAAAGAGCTCGCTCCCTCCCCAGGCTCCTGAGCGCACTCGGGGGTGGCAGGCTCTGGCTTTGCCATCCGATTCTACAGAGGTGGAAAGAGGCGGCTCACCTGAGGCCACAGAGCACTCCCGCGGGCAGAAGAGGACAGGGAAGCAGCTCTGACCTCAGAGACGGTTCTTCCTGGGCCGAGTACCTAGACGAGGACTAGGACTCTGGCTGTCAACCTGGGGGGGTGGGGGCGGGGGTGGGGGGTGACTTTGCCCCCAAGGGACATTTGGCCACATCTAAGGCACTTTGGCTGTCACCCTGGGTGGCGCTCCTGGCATCATCTGGACAGAAGTCGAGGGTGCTGTCCTACAAGGTGTGCACCAAACTCTCACCACACGGACGGACCCAACCCAAAGCGTCAGTGGGGTCAAGGCTGAGAATCTGGCCCAAGAGGCCTGCTGCCACCTGGGAGGAGGACAGGGTGGGCTCGGCGGGGGCTGCTCTCTGGGGGAGGGGAGCTCTGGCACAGGCTGTCCTCTGACTGTCCTGCCAAGGCCAAGTGCGGGGGCTGGGGGGCAGGCAGCCTTCCCCAGGGACCTGCACACAGGTCTTCTCTTCGGGGGCTGTGGAGGCAGCCTCCCTGCTGGCCTCTGCCCTGGCCTGGCCCCTCCTGTCCCTCGGGCCCAGCCCACACAACCCACCCTGCATCTCCTCAGCCTCCCCCACAGGGAACGCCCCTTCCCTGCAGCCCTGGTTTGTTCCCTAGTGATTTGGGTGATCTCACTGCCCAGCATGCCACACTGAGTGCGGCGCGCTTTCCCGGGGCCAGGCACAGTGTTAGCAGGCACAGGTCCCACTGTCATCTGCATCTGGCATAAGGAAACCGAGGCCAGTGGGGCTTTTCTCTGATTTGCTCAAGAACCCGTGGGAGGTGGGTGGCAGCCAGACGTGATCCAGAACGCACACTGCTGAGCAAGGTCATCTCTCGGCAGAAGCACGGATGGGCGGCCCGGAGCCCTGCCCCTCATCTCCTGCCATGGGCCTCCAACCCACAAAGCTCCAGAGGCGGCTCTGCAGAGTGCAGAGCTCCTGATCCCAGAAAACACCAACAGCCTGAGGCTCACACTGGGGTTCCGGGTTCTTCCTGACCCAACTCAGTCCCGGTCTCAGCCCGATGCCCATCCCGGACCTGGTAGGCCGGGGCTGCAGGCTCACGGCCACGGCTCTTCCCCTACTGCCTGGCCTTGGCCTGTGCTGCCTCCAGGACTCCTCCAGGGTCCCTCTGGGCTAAGTGCCTGCCTCAGCCCCACAGCCCCTCTGTGTCCTCCTCCTGTTGCATCACACAGCGTGGCAGTGACTCTCTGCAGCTCTCCAGACACCATGTTTAATTCATCCCTGGGTTCCTAGTGCATAGAGCAGGCCCTGGCCCGGGGCAGGTACCAAGGAATGCTGGTGATGCAGCTAAAAGAGCCAGGGCTCCCAATCTAATGAGGAGCTGTCCTTCCCAGAGGCTCCTGGGTGGGCAGTGGGGAAGACTGGAAGCTAAGCCCAAGGCCCAGCAAAGGTCAAAGTGGGAGGGACATTCAGAGAGTCTCTAGTTCAATCTGCCCATCCCACGGAAGGGAAGCAGTAACTGGGCCCAGGTTACACAGGGAGTCATGGCAGAGCCAGCGCACATCCCCAAGGCTCCTGCAAGTGTCCCTCGTGGCCCACCGGGCCCGCGCCCCACACTCGGCAGAGGCATCCCCAGGAGGGCGAGGGGCTTGCCAGGGCCCCAAGGCAGACGGCAGGCGGCAGGCACATGCACCTTGTCCTTGGCCCATCCTGTCCCCGTCTCCGGCCCCGGAACTGAGGGGGGCCAAGGGCGAGCGGGGACAGGAGGAGCAGGTGAGGGGGTACCTCGGTCTCCAGCTGGCGTGGATCCGAAAGAAACTCCGTTTATTACTAAACATCTGGCTGGAAAGTTGAGAACAAGACACGAACAGAGGTTAGTGGGAAAGGGGCAGGTGGGCGGAGCCTGGGGAGCTGCCGGGATGGGGCCGGCCTCCTATGGCTGGTGGCAGAGAAGACCCTCACCCCAGTCATCCTCTAGCCCCGTCTCCAGAATGCAGAGGGCCTCACGCTCGGCACGGGGCTCTCTGGAGAGCGAGGCAAATACGCAGCTTCCCAGATGTCTTCTCCAGAGAGGCTCCGCCTGCGCGCCCAGGGAGACGCCCGGGCACCGGCGTTTTGAACAACGCCCTGGGATGCCGACACAGAAGCTCAGGAGGCCAGGCTTTGAGAACCTCATTGCAAAACCTTAAAGAGCGTAGGTACTGGCTCTGGCGATGGCAGCCCCTGGAAGCCTTGGCCTTTAGCTCTGCGTCCTGGGAACAGGCTCAGTCTGGATCCACTGCTGAGCGCCACTGGAGGCTTGGCCAGCCAGGTGTGTGTGTGTGTGTGTGTGTGTGTGTGCGTGCTGGGGTGGCATCCTGGCTGGGGCACTCACCCCATTGGGCCCAGACAGCCAGAATTAAGGACACAGCCATTCAGCCTGAGCCTGGTGACTGAAGTCGATGTCATAGCTGAGCCTCTTGGGTCCCCGGGGAAGAAGGGACCCTCCACCACCATCACCGCAGTCCGGTGCCTGCTACCACCTCTGCTCCAGTGCCTGCTACCCAGGCAAGGAGGGACCAGAGCCAACCGGAAGCTCCGAGAGGCCTGGCTCAGGCCTTCAGGGCAGAACCTGCTGGGTTTGTGCTGTGCGCTGTGGCGTGCTAGGGACAAGGTGGCTATAAGGGGCTTTAGGGGTGGAGCCACACCAGGAACGCCCCAGCTGGGTCAGTCATGCTTCCCTCGGCCCAGCCCCAGACCTTTCCACCCACTCCCTGTGCAGCCTCACTGAGAACGGGGAGGGGCGCTGCTCCCTGCGCCCCCTGCACCAGAAGTCCCCTCCTCAGGCCCCCAGCCCCTAGGCCTTTTCAACCCAGAAACTCTGAGGACCCGGAGCCCCCAACTGGCCTCACACGCTGATTTTCCAACAGGACAGAGTCCAGAGTGACCTGCTGATGCTCTCAAGGCCACACCGCGCCTCCTCCTCGCTCGCCCCTCCTCCCTGGGTCTGGGCCTGGGGCTCAGAATGGCGCTTGAGGCTCCAGGCCAGGGGTCCCCTGGTTGGTTCAGGGATGAGGTGTGAAAATGAAACAAAGAGATGAGGAAAGGATGGGGAGGAAGGAGGACACCTGGCCCCTGGACCTCAAAGCTAAATCCCTCCAGGAACAGCCCCTGCTCGGGCGGGTGGGCTTCCTTCTCCACGCATGCCTGAGACCCCACCATTCGCCTGGGAGGAAGCATTGTTCCTTTGTTCTTCTTTCAAGACGGGAATCATCCAGGAGAGACAGCTCAAGGGGACAAGGACTTCTGGGAGCAGCAGAGTGCACCTCGGCAAGGAGCAAGGGACCTCCCAGGAGGCCCCTGGGGGCTGAGCAAAGCTGGGGACCGCGGCTGTCTGAGACCAGAGTGCTCATCACCCGGCGAGCTCATGTAGGGCCCACAGCAGGCTCGGTCACAGAGCTCTCTTCCCAGCTGGCATCTCGCTCCCCAGAGGCGAGTTCAGGGCCAAGGCCCTTCCAGAGCCACATGCCGGGGGTGGGGGGATCCCTGCCCTCACACCCCAGGACAGTGCCCACGATTACCTGAGCCGTAAGCACCTGTGGCCAGCGGCCTCCTCCTCTCTCCAGCTTCCCGGAGGGATGGGGGTGCAGGGATGGAAGAGTGAGAGGGACGTGGAAACAGAGAAAGAAACAGGACAATGGCATGAACGGAGGAGGTGGTGGGAAGGGATGGAGTGGACCTCTCTCCCACGTGGACCCTGGGAGCCCCAGCCTGGCCTCTCCAGAGAGACCCTCGGTCTGTACCTGTCTGAGCATCTGAGGTCACCTGCCCAGGCCTCGTCACAAGGCCTGGGCGTCCCCCAAACAGGCCCAGACACCCACGTAGTGGCTGAAGGCAGGTCTGAGAGAGGATGAGACAAAGAATGGAAGAAGAGGAGGAGAAGCAAGAGGAGGTGGCGGCCTCAGGGGCCCCTACCTTTCCCCAGGGCAGAAGGAGGTGCTGCCTGGCCGATGGCAGGTGGCAACGGGTGGGTAACGGGAGGGCGCTCCGTCGGGGACCGGCGCCCGCCGCACCTCCAGGGGCCGGAGGCCCCCATTGCGGGCCCGTTGCACGTGCTCAAACAAGAGGGCCAGCTCTCTGCAGGGGAGGGCGCTGTCAGCAGCAGGCAGGGCCCAGGCACTACCCCTCGCCCGGTGGGCCGTGAACCCCAGAACTCAGATCCTGCCAGACCCTGCCTCCCTACAGGGCCCCACAAACCCTGCTGGCCAGGGCAGGTGGGGTGGAGTGGGGGTGAGGGTGAGGGGAGGGAGACTCGTCTTTCCTCCTGCCCGTTCTGTACTCAGGCTTTGGGAACTCCCCGGGGGCGCCAGGTATGGTTGTGCAGGCTGAGCACAATTCAAGGGCACCTGCACAAGGCTGCAAGTGGGAGCTCAAATCCAGCTCATCTGTGCTGGTGCAGCCAGCAGCCTGGACATGGGGCTGTGCTGCCTGTGGCAGCCCCGAAACCCTTCCCTCCCAGTGCAGCACGGCTCCGGAGCTCGGGCAGAGACGGAAGCCGAGGGGGTGGTGGACCCAGCTTCCTTCCCCCGTGGCGTTCACTCTGCCACCAGCTTCTCAGAGTGGCCCTGGAGCCGGAGGCTCTCCCTAGCTCCCAGGCCCTGTCCTGTTGCTGTAAGCCAGAGCACCCTTCTCTTGCCTGCTGCCTCCCCATTGTATGGATAAGGAAACTGGGGTCCAGGGAGCAGGAGGCACAGTGGACCCAGAATCTCCAGACCAGGCTCTGTCCCTCTTATGGGGACCCAGACCCACCCTGCCCCACCCCTTGTCTTCCCTCCCCCTCCCACCCATCCTGTTCCTAACAAGCCAGCCCCCACTCCAATCCTCTGGCCTTGACACCTCCGGGTTGCTCCTGGCAAAGGAGGCTTCTTCCAAGGTAGCCACCCCCGGCTGTGCCAGGTGGAGATGGGGGGGCTGATCCCGGGAGCACCCCTCCCGCCCCTCCCTCCTGCTCCTCCCTGGGAGGGAGCAGTGGGGGGGCCAGGTGCAGGGGTGGCAGGATCACCCAACACCTGCTCCTGGAGAACTAATGAGGCGAAGAAGGCGCCCGCAGAAGCGCTGAGCACAGCAGCCTGGCCCCGCAGCGCTTACTGCTGCCTGCCTGCCCGCCCGCCTGTGGGACTGAGCCGGGCTCCGCCATCCTCACTGCTGCCTGAGGGGCTGGTGGGCCAGGCACCTAGCCACACGCAACTCTGAGGCTATTAATAATCCCCTGCGTGCAGCCACCCCCATGCAGTCACAGCCTGGCCCGGGCCAGTGGGCCAGACCCTCTTCTGGGCTGCAAGGCTGCGGCCTGGCCCAGGAAAAGTGGGTGCACAGTCATGCACAGGCATTCTGGGGCGGGCCCCGGCGCCCGGGCCTGGTGCACATGTTACTGCCCATTCTGCACCCTCCGCCCAGCTGTAACAAGTCAGGCTGTCCCCAAGAAAAGATCCAGAGGAGAGGCGCCGGCTGTGCCCCTGCCCTGGGGGCACCACCTAGCTGTGGGCACGGAGACTGCAGCACTCCAGAAGCCAGGGCCCAGCCAGTGGGGCAGGGCTGCTCCCCTGCCTCGTGTCCAGGCACAACACAGTGGGGAAGGGACACTCGGGCTCCAGCACAGCCAGTCCCAGACGCTCCCTTGGGAGCTGTGCCCCACTCCGCACTCTCCAGGGCAGAGTCCCTTGTCCTCACTTGTCCCCCATCCCACCCCACCCCACCCTGAGCAGGGCCTACCTGAAGGACGGCAGGAGGCTGTCGTAGTAGTACCAGGTGGCCGTCAGGTAGGCCCGGCTTGAGTCGGTGGAGTACAGGCGCCACGCAGCCTGGTGGGCAGGGAGTGTGGGGGCGACATGAGGCCTCCCGGCCCCTGCCAGCCCTCTGCCCCGAGAGAACCCAGGCCTAGGGCCAGCTGAGGGTCCTGCAGAGCCACGGGCTGGTTTCAATTCCATCACCGTGGGCAGAGCCAGGCAGGAAATTCAGGCCTTAGGAGAAATGACTTCCCCAAGGCCACAGAGCAGACACAGCATCAGAGCCAGGGCCCTTAGAGGGGTAGGAACCAGCAGGCCAGATATGGGTTTTTGACCCCAGCTCTGCCCTTTGTTAATGTGGGCAATGTAAGTAAAGTTTCAACACCTCAGTTTCTCCAGCTGTAAAATGGGTCTAATACTACTTATCCAACATGGTGTTATGCGCATTAAATGGACAAATGTAAATCAAATGCTAAGCTCAGTGCCTGGCACACAGGAGGTACCTAATGCCAGATTCCCCTATTACACACGCATGCTTATCTCCCTTATCACATTTGATAGCTATTTGACAAACATCACTGCATGTGTGATGAACATCTTTTTCTCCCCTAGATCACAAGCTAGGTCTTGGTTACTCTGTGTCAGTGTGTACAGTGTCCAGGGAGTGAGTGGTGACTGAAGGGATTATTATTACTAATAACAAACCCACGCCTTCTTTCCCAGCTGCCCACCACTGCCCATGGGCATACTGTACTAAAGACCTCTGGAGCAGGACAGAAGCAGGTCAGACGAAAGGAAGGACTGACCCTCTCCCTCCAGGTAAGAAGAAGAGCTGGGGAGGCCCTGTGAGTGGAGCCATCAGCAGGGGCAGGGAGACTTGGAGGCTGCTGGGCAGGACAAAGCGGAACTGGGCCCTGGGTGTCTCCCCTTCCTTGGGTGCCCCTTGTCCTTATGGGGCTGCCATTGCTGACCTCACCGGCCAGGCGCCTGCCTAAGACAAGAATATTTTTACTTCCTGCTTGCCTAGGCCCCTGGCTCGGGCTGGGGAGCAGCTGCCAGAGCTGTCTCATTAATTATGGGCACCACAATACCAGCTGTCTCTCGGCATGGACAGTGCCAACCGCCTGCCCCTACAATGCCCCCTTGGAAGGCCAGCTCCCAGGGGACAGTGGCCATTGTGCCCCAAGGGACACTAAGAAGAAAAGACTGGGCTGGTTGGCTGGAGATAGCGGGGATGGAGAGGGGAGCTCCATGCTGGGGAGGGCAGATAAGGAGAGCTGGACTCAGGCTTGGCCTTGGGGGTCAGGCAGTGCTGTGCTGGGGAGCCGGCAGAGGTGGGCTGTGCCAGCGCTCCCAGAATCACCTCCTGCCCACACTGCCGACCCGTCACAGGGTCCCAGAAAACCAAGCCCTGGCGTTACAGTCAGCATGCCCCCCACCCCAGGGAGCCTGAGACCACCCACTCCTGGCTTCCCAGCCACCCCTCTGCTGCTCCTTCTCTGCCTCCTTGGCCAGCTCCACTAAGCCTGCCCAGCTGTCCCAGGGCTGGCTCCGCCTACATGCCTGTGCTCATGAGACTAAGGACTTAGGGCGCTGGGAGTGGCACAGGCTGAGTGACCACCACACAGGTGACGTCTGGCAGACGCCTCCTGTGCAGGCTCCATGGCGACCCAGCTCATGTAGAGTTGGGGCTGGAGTCAGCAATCGGGCAGCACTGCCCCACCCCCAACTGGCCACTTGGTGCAGGCGAGTCTCTGACCGTCTCGGCCAGCAGCCTAGCTCTGTCTGTGGGGTCACACCTGTTCCGTCACACTGCCCCGCTCTGCCGCGCTTCCTGGGCGTACCTGGATGAGGTTGGCTGCTGGCATCCTCCGCTTTTCAAAGTGCTTTTGCCGGTGCTGTTCCTGGACCTTCAGGGCGAAGCCGGAGCCTAGGATGCCCTAGGGCAATAGGGCATGATTGGGGGTGGGGGTGCAGGCAGGGAGCAAGAGGCTGCCAGGGTGTTCCCATCACTGCCCATCGAAGACACCCACGCGGCCTCCCCCTCCAACCCGGCAAAGGGGGACTCACGGCTGGCAGGGCGAAGAAGGAGATGCCCAGTAAGGCGAAGCCAGCGGCCAAGACCCTGCCCAGCCATGTGTGTGGGGTCTTGTCACCATAGCCGATGGTCGTCAGCGTGATCTGGAGACACAATTGCCTTTACCTGCAGGACTGGTCACGGGACCACCCCCAGAGCTGAACCGTTACAGGAGCTGGTGCAGGGACACAGATGGGTTCCCCGCTGGTCGGTCAGGGGAAGGGCTACAAGCCACCAAGGCTTGAGTGGGAACAAGAGGTCCACTCCAGCAGGTTGGGGGCTAGCAGGGGCACTGGGCAGAGGGGGCCCAGGCCTGGTGTGACGGACAGAGACAGGCCTGCTCAGCCCCGAAGCCCCGAGTCAGGAGTCACCGCGGGCAGACCTCGAGAGCTCCCCGGCGAGGGTCCCAGGGAGAAGGGTGGCCCCTGTGGACCCTCACGCACCGTCCCCCACCACAGCGAATCGGCGTAGGAGGAGAAGTCGGAGTTGGCGTCCTTCTCGGCCAGGTAGACCAGGAAGGAGGCGAAGATGAGCACCAGGAACCCGATGTACCAGGCGGTGATCAGCTCCTGCGGGGACCGCGGAGGGAGGGCATGAGGGACCGGCGGCTCTGGAGGGGATCAAAGAGGCCCACCCCTCGGAGCTCCCCGGCCCGCCTGGCTCTCTCGGCTCCTCCCTCCAAGGAGACCCTGCCCCTGGCCTTCGTGAACCCCGGCTCTTCCTTTGCTGGACTCTGCAGGGCCCACCGGCCCTGTGCAGTGCCTTCAAGCTCCGCCTCTCCGGCCCCGCCCCAGGGAACCTTCAAGCTCCGCCTCCCAGGCTCCGCCCCTCTCCCTAGACCCCGCCTCCGGTTTTGGCCCGACCCCGAGGCCGCGGCCCTTCCCAACCCCACGGAGCCGCCGCGGCCTGAGGCGCTCCTCCCCGGGCAGCCCGCGCCCCCAGCCCCGCAGCGCACCTTGCTGTGCGCGTAGACCACGGAGCCCAGCAGCTTCCAGGTGCCGCCGCGGCGGTCCATGCGCACCATGCGCAGGATCTGCAGAAAGCGCATGCTGCGCAGCGCCGACGTGGCGAAGATGTTGCCCTGGGTGCCCGCGGCGATGACGGCCACCGAGGCCACGAACACGATGAAGTCTGCAGGGCCGGGGGTGGCGAGGTCACAGCCGGCCCCGGAGCCCGGGCCACCCCGCGTCGGGACCCGGGTCGGGGCGCTCCCGGAGTTGGGGCGGGGACGGGCTGGGGAGGTCCGCGGCAGGTGTGTCGCCGGGGTGAGATGGGGAGTCCGCGGATTACCGATGACACAGAAGGGTTTCCTGGCGAAGCGGAAGCGGCCCTGCCATCCTCGGTAGCGGCAGCAGCACCCTGCCGACCACACCCGCACGATGTACTCCAGGCCGAAGACCACGATCATCACGAATTCCTGCGGGACAGCGCCGAGCTCCAGTCCCCACCCCGGCCGGGGGCCCGGGGCGCAGCGCACTCACCTCGCCAGGAGGTCTCTACTTCACTTGGATAGAGCCAAGGCGGCTTGCAGAAGGCAGGTGCGCCGCCCCCCTCCCCGCCCCCACCAAGGAGGCTGAGAACTCAGGTCTGTCCGCTCTTTCCTGTCCCCAGGAGTCATCTGGTTTTCCAGCTCCTCATCCCAGACTCCCTCCCTCTGGGGGACCGAAGGGCTGGCTGCCAGCCATTCCCCTCCAAGGGGCTTTTATGTGGTGGTGTTTTGTTGTTGTTGTTTAAGGACAAAGATAAAATCAAAACAAAAATAAACTCAGCATTGCGGCACAGGGGGTTCAGCCACGCAGGCCAGCATCCAATACTTAAGTGCTGGGAGTGCCACTTCAAGTCCCAGTTGCTCTGTTTCTGACCTAACTCCCTGCTAATGCACCTTGGAAGACAGCGTAGAATGGCTCAAGTATTTGGGTGAAGATCAATCTCTCCTTCCCTCTCTCTGCTTCTCCCCCTCTGTCACTCTGCCTTTATTTGAAAGGTAGAGTGACAGAGAGAGAGGGGAAGACAGAAAGAGAGATATTCCATCCACTGGTTCACTCCCCAAATGGTACAAAGGCCAAAGTGGGATGACCAGAAGCCAGGAGCCAGGAGCTTCTTCAGGTCTCCCAACAGGGTGCAGGGGCCCAAATACCTAGACCATGCTCCATTGCTTTTCCCAGGTACATTAGCAGGGAGGTAGATTGGAAGTGGAGCAGCTGGGACTTGAATCAGCTGCCTACATGGGAGGCCAGTGCCATAGGTGGCCTACCTACAGACTTTACCTACTACACCACAGCAAAAGCCCCAGTAAATAAATCTTTTAAACTAAACAAATAACCCTCACCAGGCCAGGGGCAGTGTTGGCAGTTTTTGTCCTGAGAAGGGGTGGAGCCTACTCACTTCAATCCTGGGTCACCCTAAGCCCCATATTGTGGCAGGGGGAACCCTCAGTACCTGCTATAAAGCAGGGCTGATGCCCAGAGGGACCAGCACAGCCAGGCGATCCCTGAACCACAGGAGAAGTCACCCTCCACCTGCGGCCCTTGGTGCAGAGGGGCTGCCTCACACAGGCCCCCTCCGACCTGGGTCCCCGCCCTCACCAAGATGAGGAGACACTCATTGGCAAGTTCCTGGTGTTCCTGGATAGTGGACAGCACGGACAGCACCAGGCAGCTGAAGACCAGCAAAAATCTGCAATTGCAACGGGAAGGAGAGGGTTAAATTACTGGAGGAACGGGACAGCCCAGGAGTCTCTAGCAGGGGCTGCACTGTTGGCGGAGGGAGGGGGTATTATTTGGGGGAGACTTCTTTCGCAAGCAGAGCTGGGGTCCAAGTTCCCTGGAGTCATGGCTCTGTGCTGGCCACCAAAGACAGCAGCCCCTAGTCGTAGGCTGCTGGACTCACAGAAACCTCAGGACCCTCACAGCTGCCCTGGCTGTAGCGGAACATGTGGGCTCAAGGTGCCTGGTGACCCTCACTGGCTGACCTCTGGGGCTCAGGGAAGGTCAGCGGCGGAGGGAGGGACCCCCTTCCCAATGCATTCTGCAGTGGCAGGAGGGGACCCCTGCCCCCCGCTGCCCACAGGGGCTCTTCCGGAAGTGAATATTGAGACCGCTGTGGGAGGAACAGGGATAGGGAGCACACACGCACGAAGGGAAAGCTGCAGGGGAGTGAGGCAAGCAGATGGAGCTGGCCCTCGGCCTGAGTGCCCCCGCCGACAGGGGGAGACCCAGGCGCCCAGGAGGGAACCTTGGTCTCGAACCTTTCCCTCATTTCCAGTTGTGAACACGAAGAAACTGGGGCCCAGAGAAGGAAAAGGATTCACCCCCGGTGGCCCAGTGTGTCCAGGACAGAGCAGAGATTAGAGCCAGGGTCCCCAGTTTCCCAATGAATGGGAAGAGGGAGAGGGCATGAGCTGATGCCTTGGAGAGTACTGCAAGTACTGGGCCCCCAGAGCAGAGGCGTGGTGAGCATGCACCTGGCATGGAAGAGACCCCAGCGGGAGTGGGCTTCCCTGGGAATCTGTCCCCTGTGGCCTGACCCACCTGTCCCAAGTCCCTGGGCTTCTGCCCCGCTGCTAACACTGCACAGCACCCCCCATACCTCACTGTCCGAGCCTTTGAGACTCTGCTCGTCTTTCACTCCCACCCACCCACTTGCCTCCCTGGCTGCGGCTGGAGTCACTGTCTACATGGCTTTCCGTGGTGCCAAGGGCACAGACTCAAGGTCAGACAGGGCGGGGTTTGTGTCCCAGGCCTGCTGACATCTGTGGTTCTGGGAAAGCCACCTGCTCTCCAGACCAGTCTCCTGGTCAGTAAAGTGGGCTGGGCGGGAGGAAAGATGGGTAGGGTCGAGCTCTGCTCCGGGCCCAGTGGCAGCTGTCCATCGGCCACGGGTGTTGGATGAATGAATGAGGAAGAGGCCTCCTTGGCCAGGTCCAGCCAAGAGCTGAGTCAGCAAACACCAGCCATGGGAGAGGCGGGAAGCAGAGCCCAGGTCCTCAGACTCACTAATGAACCACAGGGGAGGGGGCTTGCGACTGGAGGCCCCTGAGGTCACCACACCCCGCCGGCTCCTCCAGGAAGGGCTTTCCCAGTTCACTGAGAAACTCTTGTCAGAGATCCTTCAGCCTCATTCCATTCCCCCGCTCCCAGCTGCCGGGCTTCCTACCAGGTGCTTCCAGAATAGTTCTCCTTAACACTCACCAGTTACAGGTCTGTGAACACCCATTTCACAACAGGTCAAGGGAAACACAGCCGAGGACAAAATTGGAAGGGCGGGGGGACGCAGGTGTGGGGAGGCAGGACTTTTCACACATGTGCCACATCAGCAGCAAGTTCTCTGGGCGGTAAATGAACAGACCGGCTTCCATTTCACTTTCTACTTGTCTGTGTTCCCTAAGTTTGTTTAGAATACACACGGGTCGCTTGGGTAACTAAAAACTAATAGAGGCTGGCACCGCGGCCAGTGTGCGGCGCTGGCACACTGGGTTCTAGTCCCAGTCGGGGTGCCGGATTCTATCCCGGTTGCCTCTCTTCCAGGCCAGCTCTCTGCTGTGGCCAGGGAGTGCAGTGGAGGATGGCCCAAGTGCTTGGGCCCTGCACCCCATGGGAGACCAGGAGAAGCATCTGGCTCCTGCCATCGGATCAGTGCAGTGCGCCAGCCGCACCGCGCCGGCCGCGGCGGCCATTGGAGGGTGAACCAATGGCAAAGGAAGACCTTTCTCTCTCTCTCACTGTCCACTCTGCCTGTCAAAAATAAATAAATAAATAAATAAATAAATAAACTAATAGAAGTATTTATTTACCTATCGATTTTTAACGTTTTTCAAATTGATGCATAAAAATGCTGCCTATGTCCGGGATGCCGTGTGGTGCCTCGTGTCCATGTCTGTCATGTCCATGTCTGTCTGTGTCAAGTTCAAGTCAGGGTCACACATGTGACTCCTCAGAACCGTGGACGCCTCCCAAGTCCGCACGTTGCTCCTGGCCCAGGGCCACGCTTTGTATAGTTCCGATTTGGGTCTATGTGCCGCCGAGGTGAGCACTAACTGAAACTTCGACATGTGTTTCCCTAAGTCTACAAATTGGAAAAAGCCACTTTCAGTCCTCTGCCAGCCCCAACTGCAACCTTTGCCGCAGCGAGTGTGAGCCTCTCCAGGGAGCGCGGCTCATGTGTCCACCAGGCTACTCCGTGCCTCTTCTTCAACGTCCAGAAACAAACTCAGTTCACCTCCCAGACTCCCTTCCCTCCATCTGCCCATCTGCGGGCACTGCCGTTCCCCAGGGTCTCAGGCTGAGAACCAGTCTTATCCTGAGTCTTCCCTTCTCTCACCTTCCACGTTTCATCCCATAGCACGTTCCACCATCTCCACCTTCAGAACACGTCCCTGTAGAGACCAGATCTCACCATCCTGACCAAGCCAGCAGCATCCCATAGGCCTAAGGATCTCCCAGCCTCTACCCTCTCCTTAACGGAACCCACTGCCTCCAAAGCAGCCAGAGAGCCCTTACGGCATTGCAAAGCTCCCCTTAAAATTCTCTGCTGTCCTCCCAGCCCACCTGGGGAAGGCAGGGCAAATGCCTCAGCGCACCCAGCTCTGCTCCCTTCCCCTACCCTCGGCCGCCCCTGCCCATGGTGCAGTGCACTTCCGCCCCCCCCCCCCTTGGCATATCAGCCCCTGATATTCCCATCACAGGGCTTTGCACCTGCTTTGATGTTTCCTCTGCCTGTTGCCCCCTTACTCATCCAGGTCTCTGTTCCAGCATCACTTCCTTGAAGGGTCTCCCCCAGCCATTCTGTCTCTAAAATAATAGCTCCCAGGGAGGCCTCTGGCACAGTGGTGAAGATGCCTTGGGTCCCATGTGGGCAGGGCCTGGGGTTTGACTTCCAACTCCAGCCTGCTGGTGCACGCCCTGGGAGGCAGCAGGTGACCGCCTGAATGCAGAGTCTCTGGCACTCATGTGGGGGACCTGGACTGAGTTTGTTCCTAGGCATTTGGAGAATGAGCTGACAGATGAGGGGGTGGGGCGGGGGACACAAAGTCATTTGGTTTGGCCCTGCCAAGGTAACCGCAGGCAGGACTTGGAATTCAATACATCTACAGCAGGCTAAATTTTAAATTGATAACAAATGATGTTATAAATACCCAAATAGCCCTTGGCAGAAAAAAAGGTTCCCCACCCCTGCCCACCAACAGCAAAACACCAGGTCACCAAACCAAAGTCCCACTGAGGAGGCTTGGAGAGCTCTAAGCAGATGCAGCTCTGATCTGTGGGGTTCCCTTAGGAAGAGGCTGCTTATAAATCCCCTGAACTCCACCTCGCCCTGCTGGGGAGTTCCTCACCCTGGAGGCTGAATGCATTTGAAGGGACTTTGCCGGCCAGGTTGACCCACTGCCTGCAACCCCAGTGCAGCACCAGAATCCCGTATGGGTGCTGGTTGGCGTCCCAGCTGCTCCACTTACAGTCCAGCTCCCTGCTAATGCACCTGGGAAGGCAGTGGAAGATGGCCCAAGTGCTTGGGCCCCTGCACCCACTTGGGAGACCAGGAAGAAGCTCCTGGCTCCTGGCTTCTGTTTGGCCCAGCCCTGGCTGTTGCAGCCATTTGGAAAGTGAATCAATGCATGGAAGACCTCTCTCTGTGTCTCTCCCTCTCTTTCTGTGACTCTGCCTTTCTTTTTTTTTTTTTTAAAGATTTATTTCATTTATTTGAAAGAGTTACAGAGAGAGGTAGAGACAGAGAGAGGTCTTCTATCCGCTGGTTTACTCCCCAGATGGCTGCAACGGCCGGAGCTGTGCTGATCCAAAGTCAGGAGCCAGGAGCCTCTTCTGGGTCTCCCACGTGGGTACAGGGGCCATAGCAGAGAGCAGGATCAGAAGAGGAGCAGCCAGGACTAGAACCGGCACCCATATCTGATGCCGGCACTGCAGGCCAGGGCATTAACCCGCTGAGCCACAGCGCCAGCTCCGACTCTGCCTTTCAAATAAATAAATAAATATTTAAAAAGCTGGGGCGGGTTTCATAAGTGGTCAGACAGAGGACACCCTGTATTCTGCCTTCCGGGGGAGGGACAGACTTGGGATCATGATCGGGGAATCAGAGGCAGGAGAAGGTCTGGAGAAGGTGCTCTGTGGCTGGGGTCCGGTTGTACCTGCCAGAACCGGGGTGGAGCTTCAGTCACTCAACAAATAAGGCCTGAGGCTTGCCTCCATTTCTCCCGCTAGACACACATCTGTGGTCCCCAGGAGCCGGCTGCGCTGGGTCCCTGCAACTTCCCAGCAGAGAGGCCAGACCGGCAGCTGCTCTGAGAGCATCTCTGCCCATCGTGTCTGGCTGCAGTCAGGGGCTCAGGCCTGCGACAGGTGCATGCTGCCTGGCCGCCTCTCCCGGGCTGGGGCTTATCATGAGGCTTATCATAAGCTTTCCCATTTCCACTCCCCCCCCCCCCATTCTGTGCCATTCTGTGACTATCCCATTCATTCAAGAGGGCAGTAAGAAGATTAGGGATGACCAAGAGAAGGGTTTGCTTAGATCTCTGGTTCTGACTCTGGCGGGTGTCAAAATCACCTGCTAAAATACTTGGGACCCACTTGTAGATCTGGCCCAGTAGGTAGGGGGTGAGCTCGGCGAGTCTGGGCCTCGACACTGCTCCCTGGTAATCCTCACACTCAGTTTCAGTGGCCATGGTT